AAGAGCTCCCAGTTGCTGGCGCACCTGCGAGGGGGAGGTGAACCGTCTCGAAGGCTCTGCCTTCCAGGTGGTGTTAATCTGTGGCAATGCGTGAAAGTCGGGTGGTTTTGATGAATCTCAGTGCACTCATTGTATTTTGCTATGGTTGAGAAAATTTAAACCAGGTTCGAATGGATTATAACCATACATGGAATTAGTATTGCATGCCATATTGGATGTAAAATCGACTCCGTGATACTTAATCAGAGAGAAATTGTCAAAGTTCGATTAACTTAAGAAGTGTATGTAAATGATGCTTAGTTTTGAAGTACGTTTCATTCTTCCATAGAACCAATACTGATTTCAATGGGTTTACGTGTATAGAGAAAATGATATCCCGTAAATGGTCTCGGAGCCTTTTATCTTACTGATAAACAAGTAATTAACTGGAATCATAGTATTTGAAATGGGGTGTACAAGTGAAAATATGGTTCAACAGCCTGTAGCAATGAAGGATTACAAGGTCCAAAGTAGGAGCTAGTTGAATAGTATCGGTATCAGGATAATTTAAACTGAAAAAGATGTTGGAATCATCTCTAGTTAAAAGGGACTAATTGGCCTGATATTAAACGGGAATTGAATGAAGGAATGACCAAATGAAGGAAAGAATTTGATTCAAGAATGACTGCATCAAATTCTTCTACCATCCAAGCTAAAATAATTATGCCATAGCTCTCAAGTCACAGGAAACAGAACTTATATTTCAATAAATGTGAGCTTGAGGGTGTAAGACGCACGCGGTTGACATAGTCGATGATCGCGCTGGAGAGGGGCTCGTGGAGAGCGACGGGTGGGGAGAGAACCTGCCAATTGCGCTGGTCACAGTACTGCGTCAGGCCGCCTGTAAAGAGGAGAAGCAGCAACAAAGTAGCTACGAGAGACATTTTCGCTGCAGCCCTAACTTGAAATGACTGATGGCCAGAATGGCACCAAACCCATCTGCTAGACTGACCGACTGACCAATCGACTTGAGGCATAAACAAACCTATTTGAAGCGTAAACATCAGTCTGCGATTTTTCAGGTCATTGACCAAACGCGTGATAGAATGCTAGGGTAAACATGAAGAGAACGGTGCCACAGAGACGTGGGTCGATTCTGACCCATCCGTTGTGTGTTATGTAGGGAAATGCAAAATATTATCGGAACTTATCTGCTGTTGATGGAAAAAGCGTAAAGATCCACCGTTCCTAGCGTGAAGGCACTACGGAGTACGCAAAGGCCACATCCAAAACCGGTTAAACGCGACCGCAATGGGACGTGTGTTTGGCGCAGCTAGTAGACCTGAAAGTAACACTATGGAACAAGAGTAATGAAAGGAATCACACATTGCAGCAACCACCACATCTGCGGCAGTTTACAAAGGAGTTTGGGCTTGTTAGCAATGTCGTCGCTTCACTTGGAATGATTCGAGGGAATGACTCAATTAATGCAGTTGGTCTGGAGTTGCCTTCCGCATTAGGTGTGGGATTTGCATCCGACTCTGAAGTACTAAAATAAGTGATTAAATCAGAAGCAGGGATAGTAGGATTTCGGAAGTTAGCAGAGTTTCGCAAAAAAGAGATCCTCCAAGTTGGCACTGATTGCTACGCTTAGTTACAGAGGTTCCATGTGTTGTAGTAAAAGGGAGTGAACCTCTTTAGCATTTCGGGTATTTAGAGATTCAGCGTTGGCAACATTTAAGAATAAATCTGCCACTAAAGTATATACCAGTTCTCTCTCCCCATCGACAATGAGGGACCAACGAGTTTAGTAAAGCACTCGATGTGAAGGGTACACTTAGAAACTTCTGCAGGTAATGCCCCTCCGACGGAGGTCAATAAAGTCCTGAGTGGCTAAAGATTATTAACACCCCTTGCTGGAAGCTTCAAGCACTTTACCTTCCTGTAAATGTCCTAGTTGTTAGTTTAAGGCCTGAAGAACTGCCTATATTAATGAATCAGGGAATGCTAAGGGCTTAGGTGTTCCAAACCGATTTCAGGTTTTCAGCCTCTTGAAACAACTTCACCTACTCCCTTTCAAGTAAAAAGCTTCCTGTAGACCACAACGCAATCAGAAGCAGCACTTGGTGCACTTCTTCATCAGTTTTTGCAAATTCAATCAGAACGATGGCACTCACTCCACTGTCATAAACTTCTCAGATCCTGCTTGAGGCACTGTGCACACTTGCTGTTATGTGTACTTCCTTTCCTGCAGCGTACTTTGATTCCATACTACAGCATTTCCTCATCATCTTCACCTGTCCATCGGTCACGATGGATAACAATGCTGTCTAACACCCTCTCCTGCCGAGAAGTGATGAGTTGGGCTACTTGTGTGTTGCACTTCCCAAAGTCGGTCTTCGAAGTCATTATGGCCTTTAGAGCAGATAGGAACCGATTGTAGGGAGGGGCCTGCAAGATCTGCTTGGGTAGAAGCGGAGGTCAACTCTGGAGTGCCTGATCCACTCGTCAAGGACCGTGTCTGTTGCGAAGGAGGGGAGATTTGGCCTACCTCCTGAATTGTTGTGGAAAAAAGCATGAGAAAAGAAAATTGCATGGATAGCAAAAGTTCTACAAGAAGGTAAACTGCGCAATCTCTTTTAGGAATAACACATTATCTCTGTCACCAGGTCTGTCCAACTAGGAGACCTGTTGCCTGAAAGGTGTATTTCAGCAAAAATGTACTGCAAATACGCATCTGTATGGATGTGGTGATTTGATATCTTGCCTGTTAGTTGAACCACGTGGACACATCAGCATCAGGGGTTGCGCTTTCCATTTGCAATATGGTCTCCGAGCCATGGCAGCAGTCTTTCAACTATTCTATGCATTAGTGTAATTCATATGCTGTTTAAATGTACCTTTCAGAGAGGGAGTGGGAGCAGGCTCGAACCCTGTCTAGGTCCTCCCAAACTAGTATCTATCCCCATTGACGCTGAACAAAGTGTTCCAATCCAACCACTCTCTTCGTTCGAAGGGTATGAAGGCCGAGGAACAGGAGGTAAATGAGGGCCTTAATAAATCAGTAGTATATATTTCTCCATAGTATTTAACTTGTTACGGCTTTGAAGTAGACCTGAAATACTCCACATTTATACTGGATGAACGAGATCTCAAAATTTATTCAGAAGTGCAGAAATAAACAGTACAAAAATGACAGTCAAAAGTAGCAAAGCACAAATAGCAAAGCTCAACAGGCAGCAAATAGCATAAAGCGTAAGATAGCCTAGTACTAATCACTTCTCTATAAATTCCAAAGTGCATAAACATCTGAATGTTGTCTCATGCAACAGCCTTACAATTAGGAGGATAAAACCATAAAGTAGCAACAAATAAAAAATTAACATTTGACTAAATATGGTTATTTTTAAATGCTTCTGTGTGCTGTTTGTTTACTGTACAATTACTTGATTTTGTTTTGATGCATCAAAAAGCTATATGCATAATTGACAACCACTTTGAATGCCGAAGTTTTGTCTGGGTGTTTGAGTGGTGCTGCTGGCCGTTGGTTTAATGCCACTTTGTAGGCTATGCATATTCGGCTTTTCCATACGCGTGGACTTCTACTAAAACATACACTTTAAGACTCTCTCTTCTGAAAGGCCGACTGACTTTTCGACCTCATCCACCATACTTTTATCGTACTGTTAATTCCCGAGTACATCTGAGATGCCACCGAATCCTACAAGTAGCTCAGATGCAGCGTACAAGTCGTACGGCGTCACAGTTTCTGAGCTCCAGGAAATGATGCAACTACGTGGTCTTGAAGCCATAGAGTACATAAAATCGCGATATGATGGTGTGAATGGACTATGCAAACGATTAAAAACATCTCCCAACAGCGGTGAGACTAATCAGTGACTTTGATTGCACTATTGTGTGGTTATAAGTTTTTTTTTACTGACGCTATTTGTTGACTGCTTTGGATATTTTAAGTTGTGTTTTTGAAAATATCAGAATTTTGTTCTTGGAGTTTTTTCCATCTCCAATGCGGCTGTTTTCATCTCATGCATGAATACCAAATGATGGTTCTTCTCAAAGATATTGAAATTTCGTGATATAAGTAGACTTCTGGTGGCGACCGGCCCGAACCAAATAATACATGTTTTTAATAAGTTACGTCGTACGCAGTTTTCATTTACTTCGCTTTTCAGGTGTACATAGTGCTGAAGTAGCAGAACGAATTAAAGTTTTTGGATCAAATGTGATTCCTCCCAAGCCCCCGAAAACCTTCCTGCAACTTATGTGGGAAGCGTTGCAGGATGTTACTCTCATAGTCCTGATGGCTGCCGCAGTGGTTTCTCTTGCGCTATCCCTTTACAGCAAGTGTAAGTTTGCTCCATATCGTCTAAGCATTTGTTTCAGCACCTTACTTGCCCTGTCTGCCCAGGTGTCTTTTTCCTTTTCGCTCTCGTGATCATATTGATATCGAATTTGGGGAAATCGGTGACGTGAAGTTCAATGACTTTGCAAATAGATTGTCCTATTATTTGCCAAACCTTCTGTATTAATTGCTATTAAAATCTTTTTGCCAGAAGTAGTTGCAAAGAATGATGCATTCAAATTCATCATTTTGAAGTTTTCTGGCTTACTACTAATGCAAGCACTTTAGATTTATTTTGAAAGATAGGTTTGCTACCCCTAAATTGTTCTTTTAGGAAGTAATACTGTAATAGATATGATTTTCCATATCCGTTCTAATTAGAGGCTGCATTTTGTTGTAATGCAGATTCTTCACTTGTTTAGACACTGTAGAATTTCTTACTTGTATACTTTTGTAGTTACTAGTGAATAGTGATTTCATTTACACTGTCAGATAGCATTTACGTAAAACTAGATAGCAATATGCATTTATGCTTCATCCATAATGTGTCCTATGATGTTTCACCTTTACACTATTAATTTTTCCGCCATTGATGTATGGTGTACTTCTTATTTTTTTCCCGTTTTACAAAAATGGCGTTGTCTCGCGGATAATAAATATGCTATTTTGAGATCTATATTATTATATTGGAATACTCTATGGAACGAGATTTTTACGCCTATATCGACTATAATTACCATCAAAGCTACTTCCCATTGCTTCTATCACACTCATAAATTTCGCCAGTACTGTTATCCGGCTACTCCAGTATGTATTTCAACTTTCCTAGAACCACTTCAGGGTTAAATATCGCGTCGATTGTTATTTTTACTTATTTTTTATGAAATGATGTCAATTTCTCTGTACGTTCTGACATTTACCACTTCTATTTGATGAACCCTCAGGAGGACCTTAGGTTCAGTAGTCAAAAAATTCTCCTTGCTATACTCTGCTCCCAAACTTGTAAGAATGCACGTCAATGTGTGTCACCTTTGGTGCAGAAGCAGAAGCGATAGCAGCGATCGTAGCATAAAACGCCACGGGACCGCAACATCTCGACTTACGTATTTGCCGGCGGGGAAATGCACACCACTCATTTTTCAGTCTATTTCGCTCTGCATCCTTAGTATGCAATCTCTTTATTCGGCCACCTCTCCATGTGTGTCTACTTGTGTGCGTCTAATAATGGCCATTCTCTCCTCTCAATCAGCTCTAACCCACCACTTAGGCATACCATTTCAGATGCTTCTAATCCCTCATTAATCCTGAATTCGTTGTGATGGTGAATTCGCAAACATTGAAAGTAGTGAGGTAAAGTGTAATGTTATTAGCAGATGATCAAGGTAGAGGTCTTTTAAGTGAATCACGTATTTTATCCTGGTATGAAACTCCCTAATTCACTGATTTCTTCTTAAAAGCTGTAAGGTTTAGCACTAATGGTTATTATAAGGTATTAAAACCGCGCTGTTTAATTTTTGTCAAGGGTAACTTCAGCCTATGCTTAGATGACATGTCTGTTGTCAGCAATGCTCCTGGCGGAATTTTGCTGAATAGCTCTTGCCGAAAATGTGTGTCTGAACGTAAATAGTGGCAAACAGCGCTCAAATTTGCGAGCTTAGTGTAAAATTTAAACGAAGTGTTACGCCATTATTGAATGTCCCCCATTGGATGCTTAATCGAAATTACATTTTGTACTGTCTTGGCCAACTCGGGGCTCTCAGACTACAGAAAACTTATCCACACTGAATAATTGAACCTCCATCGAAGAGGTCTAAGGCTATACTTCCTTATTGACCATACATGTCCGGGCAGATCGTCGAGGTAGTAAGTTATCTGCAAAAAACACTTTTTCTGACAATCTATCGCGGGTTAACCGCCAGAGTTAAACGACTACTTCTGCCTCAACGTTCGTGGAATGCAAAATCTAATAGAGTGAGGCTGTGGTCGGTAATAAACACACTAACCCCTGTGATTTATTAAGTTCACTCGAACAGCTCGCACAAAATGGTTCATTCTGTTTGGATGCCTTGGAAAATTTTGTCCGAATAACTAACTGAATGAATCACGATTATAGTAGTCCATGACAGCCAGTTGCTCAGACCTTCACAATTACTGTATCCTATTGCCCCTTCTCACGTTAGAACTACTTCACCTACTGCTTATCCCTATAGTTATTAAATCTGTGGCTGGTTCTTAGCCTGGATCATAGGTTTGCCTTTATGCCAAGATGTTCTTAAAGGATGACATCTATTTTATGCTCGTCAGTGGCGTATTATGAGCTGCGAGTTTGGAGTTTGATAACACAGCACCTAATATATGATTGATATCAAATGTTGCTCGTCCTGTGTTGATAGTAGTTCTTCCCGTGTGGTGTATGCCTAGTTATCAGAATAAAGAGTGCGCATGTAGTATTTGCAATCTAAAAGTATGTTTTAGATGTCTTCGACACCATTAACGTTTCCAACCCTTGTGCGTTTGGCTTTTCTCACTCTTTTTAAGCCTTTCTCTTAACTATTTTTCGAATCCCTTCAACTGACAATTAGGAGCTCCTACAGTTCCCTGTATTTGAGTGGAATTTATGTTATACTTTATTGTAGTATATCCTCCTCAAGTGTGGCATATCTCACGAAAGCATTGCGTTTCTGGTATTTTCCTTCCGTTAATGGCATTCACCCACTATTTTGCAATTTAAATGCTATGTAAAATTAAATACTTTCTCGCATCTCGTTGATGCTGAACCTTCGTAAATCATACCGAGTAGAGGTGAGGGGTGTATAACGGGTATGCTAATTTTCTTTCCCCATTTGGACAACTCGTTTGCACACTCCCTATCGCATGTACGTTTCTGCTTCTATTCTGCTGGATGCAGCTTGGCGAAATTTAGGCTTTTTTAGTTTTCTTTGCGTGTGCACGTTTGGAAATTATGTCCCTTTCTTCCCGATCTCTTCCCCTTTCCCCAATGAAAAGCGATCTTCTACTGGTCGCCGAAGCAGCACTCCTCTAAAACTTTTTCGATGAGTCAGAGAGGAGCATCCGATTTTTTTAGGCGTGTACTGTTTGTAGAGTCAAGATTAACATCACTGAAGTGAATTTGCTTGACTGCACGGCGGGACGAACGATGTATCAAGACGTAGGTGTTGATCTTTGTGAATAGTTATGAATCCCGACCAGAATGTGGCCATGTGTGGTGACGTGCCGTGTCGCCACTTTAAATGCATCAGAAACCAAACATTGGTTTTGGGCTCGCGGTGTCATCGTATCATGGTAAAGTTATGCAACTTTAGCTTTGAAAACGATCGAGCCCTTGTAAATAAAAACCTCGCTTTTTACAATGGGTTTGGGTGGTATTCATTCTCTATAAAATATGAAACCCTCTTTAAAATCCCATTAAAATTTATTCTGGCCAGCCTGCTTGAGTACCTGTTTTCAAGTTATCCTAAAAGTAGCCAACTTTTCCTTCACAGAAGTAAAGTGATGCATGTTGGAGAATTGTCTCGCATGAAGTGATTTTCGGCGGTTTGGATTTGACACTGGATAATTCTGGAAAATGAACTGTCTAGTTTGCATTGGCGGCTTTACCTGGGTTTTTTCAGTTTAATGAGATAAACGGTCTGACTTCAGGAAAGCGGTTCTTTCTGCCTTGGTGGAAACTACTTGTTTTATTGTCACACTTTTCAAATATCCATTTGTTACAATCAAGATGCAGCTTCAATTCATCTTTGTTCCCTCACCTCATCCTTATTTATTATTTAGTTTCTCACTTTGTCGATACACTTCCCCCCCCCCCTTAAACATTAGTTGTAAGTTGACTCTACGCCTTTATCCAAAACTCAAATGGAATAGATTGTTACATCTACCATCACGAATTAGGAACTCTCATCTCAAGTCTCGACTCTTATCTGCACATTTTTGTCCGTAAAATAAGGGAGATTGAGCGGCCACGCCTTGACCTGAATCCTCATTCGGTCTTTGTGCTTGGTAATGTTGGATACCACCTAATCATCTTAGCTTCATTACGTTTTACGAAAATAAGTGTTAGCCCTATAAAAATTAACCAGCTTCGCCTTTGACGTTGTTTTCTTAAAAATAGGTTTTAGTTAAAGTTTTTTACGCTATCTAAGCAGTTGTTTGGATGGGCTTGCCTAATACTGTATATTATCTGTGATACTGCTAAAGTGATTGATGATGGCGTTTGTGTTTTGTATCTTGACAACCCAATAAGTATAATTACCCATCATTCATGCATTAGTAGCTCCAAAAATGTCCTTTTTTCCAATTCTTCTGGTTGATACTCCTTCAGTTGCTGATTTGCTACGGATTTGCCTGATTGGTCGTTGGAAAATATCTGACTGAAACCCGTCCTAAATCTGCAATGTCAATCTACTAACATTTTGCAGGTTACGACGAAAGCCACACTTTATACGTCCATTAGCAGACGCGTGCGTAGGTATCTGGGTAATCTGACGGCTAGGGCACCCCAATGTGGGAACCAAATCAGGGAGTGGGCAATGGAAGTCAGAGTTCAATACATGCATGTGAATGTTTTCACAGGATGGCGGTGGCCTGTGTACTGCCTTATAGACAGCGGAGGCAGCGTGGGAGGGGACGAGACGGAGGGAGACGCCGGCTGGATCGAGGGTGTAGCGATCCTGGGCGCAGTGCTTGTTGTGGTCCTTGTCACCGCTGTCAACGACTGGCAGAAGGAGCGTCAGTTTCGAGGACTGCAGGACAAAATCGAGTCGGACCATCGCATCTCCATCATGCGTGATGGCGAGTTCTTCGAGTGCCTCGTGGGAGAGATCGTTGTTGGCGATATCTGTCTCATCAAGTATGGTACGTCCCATCACCCATTTCTCTTGCACTTCTCACTTCAAGCAGGAGGTTAGGGTGCACTCACGGTGTGCATTTTTCATTTTGGCGCATAGAATCATAAACTGAACACGAGTAGGAGCTCGATTTTGGCTGCCATTTCCATCTTTCAGGACTTTATTGATCCATCTTTCGGCTGTTTAATCCACAAGTTTATTCAACAACTCAGTCTACAATGGATATTTTTTATTCTACTATCAATTTTTTTATATAATGGCACTACTACTCTTCGGATTCTGTTACTTTGAGCGGAACAGAGTTAATTTCTTTGTTTCCATACTCTTACCATGTCACTGCAACTGCAATCTATCTTTTTGATTAGGAGTTAGTCGGGCTCGGTGACGCAGTGTCAGACTCCCGTGTTAAGCGTTTTCATGCAGGAAAGACTGAAAATTAATTGACAAAACCGCCTTTACACGCACTTGCACTTGGAATGTTTTTATAACAACACTAATTTGTTTTGTTCTTTGCGTGCGCAGGCAGTAGTTTAGTAAGTAAAGGCACTCCTCATCTTTTTTCAAATGAAATATATGAGGGAACGCTGTAGGAGAGTTTATTTTTAAAATCATTGTCTCAGTAGTGCTGTCATACTTGCATTCCAATGTAGCACTCAGTTCCGCCATTAATTTACGGAATTGCCTCCTCTCCCCCCAGATCATGCGAACTTAGGTCTAGATGATCCATGGGTGGTTACTTCGGCGCCGTGGAGAGTTTTACTGCTGCACCCAATTTCGGATTACAGCTGCTGGTGGAGCACAAAGTAGACACTATCTTACCGTTTGATGTGATACAAGTGCTATGAAGCTGGAACTAACCCAAACAACGCAAATCAGTACAGTTTGATACTGTATTAGATCTAGAGACAGTAATGGGATTCAGATGGCCTACATCAATTTCTTGTACTAGGATGGTTGTAAGGGGAGACAGCAATATAAACATTATTTCAGTGATTCTGACATTCGACGCTCCTTTGCTCATATCTGTTTTCCCATTATGGAAGGGAAAGATTGGTTATTCGGCTGAAGTGTGCATAACGTCTTCTTCCGTTTTTATCACTGGTATATAAAAAGTTCATCTCATTTCGGAATATTTTTGATGGAACGTCGCGGCGGATTCAATTTACCGCTTTGTCATCAAATGGTTTGTCCCTAGTATTTTTTAGCCTTGGGATGTTAACTACATAATGATAGGTGTCCCATATCTATGTGTTTTGCTGTGTATTCATCCTTCATTACGATTTGTACTGAGCACTTGACCTGAAAGTCCTGCTAAAGGCGAGAGACTTAACGGTTCCCACCTCTTGTCCATTTCGATTCTTTGGGTTGGATTTTGCTCACTTAGCTGAAACGAATTAATGTCCAACGTTTATTGCACAAAAGAAGACTTCGTTTAGTTGGTCCATAAAGTCCACTTCTCCAGGTTCACTCAATAGCCTAGGTTCTCTGCATAAAGAAATGTCCCTTTGAAACGCCTCATTAAACACTCAATCCTTTTTCAAATGTAGACAGTCTCTTTTTTAAGGTTACAGATAGCCAATTGTATAACTCCTCCCTAAGATTCCATTATAGTCCTTTTAGCTGTAAAATTAGTCTCATGGCCACCTGGTGGATCGGATCGGCGAGGTGCGTGTGGAACATGGTTGACTTTGTAGTGGATCCATGAATGAGATTTTCCTTTGCCCCAACCGCACTTTTAGTGATTTCAACTAAGTGGCCTTGGTAAGACGCAAGTATTAGTGCAATCTTGCAGAACATGAACACACAACCACTCTCCTGCTTCCTATACACATCTATTTTACGCACTCTCGAGAGTGTTGCACTTGTGTTCTGAATGCCCGATAGGAGGCTTAAATCCAATCGCATTATAATACTTACTGTATGCTAAAAATCGCATCTTAGGCACCTAGTCGAAAGGGTAGTAATCAGCCTAGTTTCGCCGATATTCTCTTCTTTCTTGTCTCTTTTTTCGTTTTACTTTTTTCCGTTTGACACCTGTTCACCTGCGCTGGAAGGAATCATGAAGGCTCCTTGAAGCAAATTGGGCCAGATGCTAACCTTTGATTCCACTGAGCTCCTGTCCATGGTATCAGAAATGAGTGGCAAGTGAAGTTTTTTTTCACTATATTTACGGTGTGTTCGGATGGGTCATCGGTTGTCATAAGCATGCTTTTTTTCCCCATCCAAGCAATTTCTCACTCACCTCTACCATTTGGCTTACAACGAAGAAAACCTGCAATATTTTTTCCTTCCTGACATTACTCGCATTTTATTCGTCTTTAGGTGACTTACTACCTGCTGACGGTGTGATAATACAAAGTAACGACCTGAAGGTGGACGAGAGTTCTCTAACTGGTGAAGCTGACCATGTGAAAAAGGGTGAACAAATAGACCCCATGCTCTTGTCAGGTAAACTTCTCTTAATTTCCCACTTACTGATCTTCAGTCACACCAAATGTTACCAAAGTTTATACGCATCTCTCACCCCTTTGCGTTCCGCTTTTCGAGGTCGGGGTCAGCAAATACTTCAGCTTCCAGTTACGGAGATCCATCATGCATGTAAAATTCAACCCTTTGGCCACGCGCCTAAAAAATGGAACGATTTGGTTATTTTGAAATGGATTGAAGATTAATCCTAGAGGACCATAAGGGGGATATTTTTGACGTGAGTTATTGCAAACCTCCTGTCTTTGCCTCCATATGTGTGGTGTCTATTTTTGGTACATTTTGATTGGGATGTGCTTTTCTGCGTATTGCTATCTGCATTTTGTTGTTATTTTGTACGCATTTGCTTGCGTATAGCGGAAGAAACTAGAAAAGTAACAGTGACATATGCTCCTTCCCACTTGGTCATCCACTTTCCCTTCATGCTGCAGCAATTTTTTTTGACCTGATTGTGACCCATGTAGTGAATAAAATTTCAGTAAATTAAAATCCCACTTTGAAAAAGTAACTTGAGAAGAAAGCTCCGGAATTCACAAATTTCCCGTATCTTTGTTGAGGTATTGAAGACGCCTTTCAGTCGGAATCATAATCCAGGTAGCTATAACGTTGCCCTTGCGATTGTATTTGCGCAGAGAAACTCCTCCAATCCACTGTACTTTAGTCAGCTTTCTATTGGGGTTTAGTTGCTAATTTTTATAATAAAAATCGTAATTTTTGCCAACACCCACGGAGTACTCCAGCATTGGGGACCAAATGTGTGAAAATGAACAAAGTTCCATGGTTTTATCCTTAAAGATGTATTTTCCTAGATAGTTAATGAAAAGCATTCCGGCCGTCTTTACGAGGTAGCATGCTTCACTTCATTATTAAAGACCCCATAGAAAAGATAGGTTTTTTCAGGCTCTACAAATTATTTTGCCTACAACGTAGTAAAAAGTTGCTAAACAAAATGGTTTATGTGCTCATTGAATGGATGCTTCCCTAGTAAATTTTTTGACAATCCCCAAACGAAACTGTTGACAATTTTAATTTGAACTTGGTGTGAATAACCATGAAACGCGTGCATTCCGTGCATTTTCGTCAAGATTGAAATGTGGATTTATATCTTCACTACTTTACTTGGCGCTGTAAGTTCATAAAAATACTTTTTTGGCTTTCGCACTGCTATTTGGAGCATTTACGAGTTATTCGTTTTCGTTATTTCGTTTTCGTTTTGCCACATTCACTTGAAGGGGCGGTTTGCTGTGGTGCCCCTGTGTTTGGAGCATGGAGCATATCTTTGGAAGCTACACCTAACCTGACCTACATTACGCAACGTTGAAAGACAATACCGGCTCATTCCTTCTATTCAACGATGGTTTTTAGGGGTTGTTGTTGATTGAGTCGGACTGCATAATGAATAGTCTGTTTCTGAAACTAACTCTTGGCTTAGCACATCCACCGTTGCTTCTCCTTTGTCTCTAGTTTAGTTGGCGAAAGAAATCTTTTGAGTCTTCTCTTCCTCTTATTTTGCAGTTCAAGTGCCAAGTTGTCCTATCTCCACTTTAGCGTGCCGTTGGAGTGAGGATCAGTCGCTATTGTCGCTGTAGTTGACCCTGTCAAAGCTGACCGCCCACAGAGGGAGCAAAGACGTCTGTGTGCAGCCCCATAAAGGATTATCGTTACGCTTCCCCCGTACACATGGTCCTCCACGGTTTTTTAAGTGGAAGAATGGATGGAAAATTTGCCATATTTATGGCTCAGTAGCAGTAGTGCCGGTGGTAGTGTTTGAGTTCATCAATAAAATAGATTTAATCAAAATTCACTATTCTTATGCCATAGTGAAAAATGAGCGTCGACAGTGTTACACTGTCAAAGTCGCACTCAGGTAGCATACGTGGATGCCTCTCCTCTTTATTTCCTTCCCAAATTCCACCCTTCTCACCTCATAAGGTAATTTGTTTAACACTGAAACTGATGACAGTCCACCCGAGGTGGAGCCTGAGGTGGTCCCATTGGAGCCTTTAACGGGTTATAGATGTGTCCCTTAGGGGGTTAACTTAATAAGCCCATTTTTGCCACCGTTGAATGCGAGTCATATACTGTGTTGACGAAAAGTAGCCTAAACATGCTGTAAATGGAATTAATAACATTATTGCTGGTTTTATCAAGTTTCGTTTTGGAGATTTTGAGCCCTCTTTTCACTTTCCCAGATGACCATTAAATTTATGTTTGTTGAATTTTGCCACTGTATCTCGTATTGTACGAACATTTTAAAAATTGTTATCGTATTCGAAAATGCATTCACGACTAGCATTTTTACAAAATTTAATTGATAAAGTGGATTTGATTATGCGGATACGTACATTAGGCGGGCATCAACACAGATTGACCATTTTAATGGGTGTATCGTCAAAAAGGTACCGCATTTACTTGCGTTCTTTGCAAACTCCACTTTTTCATACGTTGGGATGGTGGTAAAAATAAATATCGTGTGAGGGACTTGTATTGCTCCTACGAAAGATGATTGCCGATTGTTTGAGGACTTCGTCGGTTCCACATCTTTTGATGTCCGCTCTGTACTGATTGGATTTGGCTATGGCTGTTTTCCGTGCGGTTCTCTGATCATCCACCGTGAAGAGCTGGTGCACCGCCTTCGCCCTTTTTCTGTCTAAATAATTAACACCGTCTAATATTGCAGCAAGAGTTATCTAGCCTACTAGAAGATGTGTCGATATTTATGGAATTGGCGATCATTACTAACCCCGGTGTAGACTTCCCACGATCGCTTACTTCCACCTTTGATAAGCGCATCGCGCTCTTAGCACCCGCTTTGAGGAGTGAATATCAACAGGTCGTCAGATATCTTTTAACGCCCAAAATATTCGGGATGCACAAGATCCAACGCCTTGTATGATCCCCTCTCCCCGGAAGATAAAACCCTGTTTTACAGCTTTAAGAAACTTTCGAGGTGTCATCTTGGAATGCAGCAAAAGTAATTTTTGATGGGTTTTTTTTTATTATTTGTCTAGTCTCACCATAAATTGTAAATCTTTTATCCATATCAAATATTATAATCTAAATTTGTGGAAAGTGACTAAATATATACGATGAAAGGCACCCTTCTGAAGTTATTTCTATTGTAGAAATTTTTCCGCTTACCGTATAGGTTTATTGGTTGCGAAGCTCCCTACTTTTCTGCGGACTTGGTTATTAGAGGACTTAGTAAGGTGGTTTGCACATGGCTTTTTTACTTCTATGCAGTAAAGTTTGCGCTTAACCAGTAATTATGATGTGGCCATATGGAAGTGAATGTTTTTTTCATACACGTACGACTTTCGACCCGGAACATGCAACTGCACTATTGAGGGTCGTTCGGATTTTGATGCGTGTTCTGCACAAACGTGCTTTCGGTGCTATGAGGTCATGGTATGTGTCAGTTCTGTCAGTAGGTTGCGGTGGTTTCTGCGTTCCTACTAACATTTGACTGTATCCGCCCAAGCAGCAACTGTTTGGGTTCAAAGTATCCTCCAATCCCTTGAACAGATATCTTGATTCATTAACAGTCGAAACTAATACAAGTGGTACAGTGCGTGCGTGCACTCAACACTCCTAAATTTTATTCCTACTTTTTTATATCGAAGTTTCACCTTATTTGTTCATGTGATGATTTTTGCATTTAACAATTAGCTCGCAATAGCTGTTCATATCTATCCTCCAAAAGTAGCGGTAGATTAAGTGAAATCGAAAATTTTGCCTAGGTACGCACGTGATGGAGGGCTCTGGCAAGTTTCTAGTGACGGCGGTGGGGGTCCACTCACAGGCGGGTATCATATTTACCCTTCTGGGCGCTACCGAGGGCTTTGGCGGTATGGATACTGTACCCGGCGGGGGACTTCCGATGCCGCCTTCCACTGAGACCATTACCCATGCCTCGGTGGCCGCTACTGCGGCGGTGGCACCAGTCGAAAAAGCCTCCGCTCAGACTCCTTTGTTGATGCAGAACAATAAACAACGCATGGCTGACGGCATTGGACACCGGGGCACAGGCCCACATCCTGCCAGTAAGTTGATATTTGGAGTGAACTCGAAATCTTACATTGGATGTTTGAGACTGTTTACATTTAAATTTTACTATCGATTATTTCGATAGTTCAGAAATCTGCCATTCTTTTAACTCATCGTTATACGGGTGGACCCCATCCATTGAGAACTATTTTGCCCTTTCATTGTGTTTTACGCAAATTCGGACGTTTTTCGAATGCCTCATACTTATTTCGCTCCTTGTATAACAATACTGAGATAAGGAATGGCTGGTGAGATGCAGTAGTAAGGTCTGCTGGGTCTGAACTCCTTTTCTGACCGTTTGCCTCTGGCGAGGTGGCGAAGGCAACTTCAGTTCCTGCCTCATGCACATTAGGCTATTATTTTTTACGTTGAAGTATCAGCATGTCCTCTCTCCTGCTATCTTTCTTGCCCCACCTCATTTCCCCTTGTTTTCTCCATTCAGTTACTTGTCCATCTGCTTATCCTCTTTCAATTTCTTCCTTCAGTTCTGCCTTGTCTTTTGTTGTGTACGATAATTTATAGGCTTTAGGGAAGTGCCCACTCTGAAAGCACTCTCTCGTTCACTCACTATGCAATCCTTTTTTCGCACTTCAGATGTCTCGAAGGAAAAAATGATATCAGAACAAGATTTCCTTGCGTTTTTACTCCAAAATGAAACTAAAAACAAAATACTGGATCTTTTTTTCTGACTACAAATTCGCTACATCAGTAATTACGCCCTGCTGTTACTAGCGTCATGTTCTAAGCTAGTCTATTAAATTATCCTTTTGCTTCAGAGGAAGTAATGTTAAATTTCAAGTTCCAGTTCTTTTTATTTAGCTATTCCAGGTAATTTTGGGTAAAATTTTGTCTGTTTTTATCTCTCATAGGGGAACGGTTACCAGAAAATCAACCACTTAACATATTTTTTTATTTATTAATCGCAGTGGTTGCAATACAGTACGGGTTCAGATATGAGATTAAGTTTGCAATGTAGTGTTATCTTCGTTTCTCTTTTTCTCCTACCTCTAGCCGTGGAGATGGGTCGTTTGAACAATCTGGTGGACCACATGGGCACCGGTGACGATCGAAATCTCGAGCCTCTTCTGCCGAGGAATGGCAAGGGTGGCGACAACGGTGGTGTCGCAAAGGAAAAGGAGGCGCCTAAGAGGAAGAAACGTCCCAAGAAGAAGTCCTCTGTGCTCCAGGCGAAGCTCAATCACCTTGCCGGGGTCATTGGACAAATCGGTAGGCCGCCACTTTGTCACCTTGCCCTTCCTTCACTTTGTCTTTGACCGAATCCTTATTTGTCTGGTATATTCTTCAGCTTTAATGGATAAATATCTTACCAGTTGCTTCGTTTTATTGTTCCAATTCTTCCATAACTAACATGTAGTCTACATATCCGCTCATTCCTTGCTTTGCGATGCCTGATCATAATCAGGACGTTGTAATCGCAGCTCTTGATTTTCACTTCTGGTAATCGAACCGCACATTACCGCATTACACAAGGGTTACCTGTACTTATTCCTATCTTGAAACGGTATTTCAGGAATCGTTTAGTGACTTTTTTCTGAGGCCGAACTGTTTGATCTTGTGAAAGGGTGTTTAACTTAGTAACTTTGAGCGGCTCTTCTCAATCGGTGGTGATGTAAATGAAGGGTGAGCTACGAGACAGCTAGTGCGGCTTTCCTTGTTGCAGGTACGGTGATCGCTGTATTGACGGTGGTCATTCTTTTTGTCAAATTCGCCGTGAACACGTACTACATTGAGGGCGAGTCGTGGAACACAAGTGTGCATCTGAAGCAGTTCATCCACTTTATTATCATCGGCGTCACCGTGTTGGTGGTAGCTGTACCCGAAGGTCTGCCTCTCGCTGTTACCATCTCTCTCGCCTACTCTGTAAAGAAGATGATGAAGGTAGGTCCCGACTGGTGTCCCACCCAGCTTTAGTCCTCACTTAAGCAAATGCTCATTCCCATTTCCTTTTCGGCCAATGGAAAACTTATCTGAGGTGTGAGTAACTACTTATATGTCGTTTCGACGAAGATATGCGGATATTTTTGTGCCAAACATAGTTCGCTTAAATTTGGGCATTTTGTGCTTTTCTTTATTCCTCTATGCACAATTTTGTCGCAGAACCTTCCCGCAAAACCCTTGCATATACCCATCTTTGTATGCGAACACAATAACAAGTTCCTTATCGCATACGAAATTGTGATATTTGTTACCAGATTACGTAGGGAAGGTAAAATCTGCTTAGCTCAAATGTTGCATAGATTAGATTTTTATTGAAACATTTGTAGATTTTGATTTGGTAAAAGTGGTACTGCTTAACCTTTTGCTATTTCGCTTTTTATAGAACCCACCCTAACTCTAATTTCACGGCATGTATAAATGATCTATTCACACAAAGCAGTGCGCCCATAAAGGTAGAATCCAATCTGACGTCCTCCAGATCGACAGAAAACTTTTTCATCTAAGGCAGTCAATTATTACACCAAGCCCTTCTTATTGCTAGTCGTGAATTGCTGATTAGTTGTGTCTTTGGGTCTTTCATAAGCTGATGCTAAATGGTTGGTTGTGTGAATTTCAGGACAACAATTTGGTTCGCCATTTGGACGCCTGTGAGACGATGGGCAATGCGACGGCCATCTGCTCGGACAAAACAGGGACCCTGACTACCAATCGCATGACCGTGGTGCAATGCTACCTAGGTGGCTGTCACTCCAAAGATCCGAACAACCTGCCCAAACTGAGCCACCTCAACCCCAAGTTGGCTCACCTCGTCATCCACGGCATTGCCATCAACAGCGGATACACCTCTCGTGTTCTGGTTAGTCTCTCCTGTCGCTCCCTCTGCTCGCTATTTCGCTTTACCTCTCCCTTGAATGACCGGTTATGTACCTCCTCGACCATTAACTATGCCCTCAAATCCTGTCTCTATGCAACTTTCTTGCCTTTTTGAATTGTCGCTGTCTGATTTTGTGATTTATAGTCCACAGATGAAACGATTGTTTTCAGTGTGGGGAGGGATGAGCCCTAGTTTATTGAGTCCGAAATCACTTCCGTTTCGCAATGGTCCTGCTTGTGTTCACGATTTTAATTGAAGAATAACCCAAATTACTCCCTATGCGAACAGCTATTGCTACAGCCTTTTTTTTCTGAACTTTTCAATCAACTGTCCGTGGACATTTGCTTGCCAAAATTCAGACCTTATTTCACTTTACCGCATGATTCAAAAATGGTGTTTCTCAAGTTTTTTTTTCACTCTCTTCATTAATTAAAAAATATTTCTAGTTTACAAAAAATGATTTAAAAATGAGAGGCTTGCTACTCTTCTCCAAACTACATCCGCTCTTGCATGAGTCATTTGAGGCTTTAAAGGCCAGCCACTGTCACATGCTCACGCTCATGCGTTCCCTCTGATGAAATGTTCGACCAAAATTATTAAGAGGGAAATAATTATACTTAAATGATAATTCACTTTGAAGTGTAGTAAATCTACGGACAGGTTGCACATATTTTTTATGCAGATCTCAATTTCAGAACGATAGTACGACATTCATTTGCAAAAAAACGCAATGGGTTGGAGATCAAGTGAGGCGGGTTAAGTAGCACCTATTGGTATTTGTGTTATTTTTTGCCTTATTCAAACATCAGGTGAAGGGATGAATGCGAGAGTCATCAGCTTTAGTAGCTGTCTAGCCGGACTGACAAAAGATATGTACTCCCTCACTTCAAGGATGGTGTTATTTATTTGCTGTCTGCGAACTCAAAATCCGTCTGGTCGGTTTAACCCCTTTCATTTCGGTTTCATTAATGCCTTCCGTGTCATTTTCCATATTTGAACGCTTGAATTTCCTCTCATACGATAATGACTTCCCGTGCTCATCTTTTACTTTCATTGATCGTTCAAAACGATCCGTAAAGGGATAAGGCTGTTCGCTTTATAATTGCATGCCGTTTCTCGTACTTGATCAAAAATCTGGTTCACGTCCCCATTCAGCAGTGTTTTTGACTGCTCTGTATTGTCTTATTATTAAATCATCTGCGTACCTTACTCTCCATCAGTATGCTAACGGCTGTTTGACTCGACGATATTCGACCGAAACCTATTAACTCTGTTTAGGAGTAAAAAACCAAAGGCGTATCTCTCAATACGGCTCAAATCTTTGCGACCCTTTAAGTAACCTCTGGGGCCTTCTGGAATAATAAATAGCCTTGTGTACTTACCCCGAATCACCGGTAATGTTCTCCCTTACTGTAACTGCACATTATCACCAATGAGGTGGTTCAGTGTTATTGGTTCCATCTTGACATTACACCTGCGTGAAAATTGACTTCTCGCCTCCACTTGTGGTCCATGCAATCCTGCAAACCATTGTCGGCAAGAGTGTTCCATCCCATTTGTTTTCACACCTGCTAGGGAGAGTATCCTTTATCCAACCATTCTGGGCAAAACAGTTCCTTTCTCCTTTCATTCAGGATCTGTTGCAGCGTGGCTACACGAGTATCTTTAGCTGTCGCGGTGCTGCTGTCCTTATTACAGTATGTAGCACACTGAACTTGAAAATGTGTCGCTCATCAATCTTCGCACGAGGCTGTTTTGTGCAGGTCTATTGGTCCTAGCGTAACTTTTGCTCTCATTCTTAGCAAGTCACAAGGCCCTGGAGAACCTCTCCCCCAGCCTATTTACATTTTAACTCCAGGGGGAGTGTGGGCGCGTGGACGTGCTTTTTCTTTGCCATCTAGAAAGCGCGTCTTTGCACTTTCATACCCATCGTTGCAGACGAAACGAACCCGCGTCTGTTGCCTTCGCACCTCCAACTCCCTACCCCGGGAACGAGGGCCACCCCTGTTCTTTTACCACCATCATTAATTCTTCGGCGAATCGATGTGCAAATGTAACTTTGAACAATATTGATGTCCCCTCTAAGGGAAGCTACCATCGGTCACCATTGCGAGACACCGACTTCATTCTTCTTCCTAGGGAGTTTGATACTTCACCATTGCCAGCATATTCCTGGCCATTAAGTGGTTGCATATTGTTTATACCACACACAAAATGTAGCAGATAAAAGGGTTGGGTTTTTGTTTAGTAAAATGGGGCAGCTGCACCGCCCACTCGTAAATTGACAGGAACCGGTCAGGTCGCCCATGAAAGTAAACTCAATTCTAATTTTTAAAAGAGCTCATTAACTGGCAATCGGTTTTTCGTATAAATAATTGAGCAGATGGTGGCATTTCTCTGGCTTTTCCTGCGACTATCCTGCACTGCTTATTGTTTATCCTTCAAGGGGATGGATTTATAGCCACAAAAGATCACTGAGCTTGTGCCGAGCAATAAGTAAAAAAGGGACTTTATAGCACAGTGGGATTTGTGAATTTCCCATATGCGTATACACGTTGATTTATTTACGTCAAAAAAATTCTTCCTTAATTCACAGCCGCCGAAGAGACCCACTGATCTACCAACGCAGTTGGGCAACAAGACGGAGTGTGCTCTGCTGGGCTTCGTGCACACGTTGGGTGCCTCCTACGAGGACATTCGGCAACAGTGGCCAGAGGACTCCCTCCTGAAGGTCTTCACCTTCAACTCTGAGCGCAAGTCCATGAGTACGATCATCCGCAGCCTCGATCAGAAAAAGCGCGGTCTCACCGTCTTTACCAAGGGTGCATCCGAGATGGTGCTCAAAAAGTGAGTATTAACGTGGTTTAGTCACAGCACATTAATGTGTAAAATACGGACTGCTCTCATGCGACACAAACGTACTCCCCGCGTGGCGTCACTTCGTAAAATATAGCTAACACATCAAAGACCATTTTCCATGAACCTAGCAATTGGTAATTGTCCTTTTCACCTTTCGACGTGAATTATTGCCTCGTGCCTCATGTCTAGCCTCCCAATCGTCTAGTGAAGAAAAGGTATATTTGAATTCACACTGTCTGAGTTCATGCATGACATCAAAGCATCTGCGTTTCCTGAATCGTGATTCTTCAATATATTCGTGCTTAGTTGCCCAATCATCAACATTCTCGCTTTCAGCTGGAGGTCTGCTACGGCATTGGTACCCGCTAAATTGGTGAGAATTTTCTTGTCCTTTACGTGCAACATCCGTTTACGCGATTCGGCCACGCGTGCACTCGCCTCGCTTGCGTCGGAGAATAGCTTTCAATGGTGTTTGCGAAGCTGCGAGGTCATGTGTGCGTGTCTGTTTCATACTTGTCTCCGGTTCCCTTTTTCGCATGTCCGGAAGTCGTCATTAGTTTTAAAGCCAAATTGTTTTCGCAGTTCTAGGGGTAAAATATGAATTTGTTCACGTAAATCCAAGGCTCTTGCTGCTGCTTTCATTCCTCTGACAATCGCAATGCTTTGACAACTGATCGAGAAGTTTGGCTGTGCTAGTCACTGCCTACATCTTACAATTTCGATCATTTTTTCTTTGCTGCCGTTTGTTGCGGGTTCCTTCTGTAAATAAGTACGCTTGACCACCAAAGGCGTCATCCTGGCACGAAATAATTTTATTATTTTCGTCTACTTATTGTCTGGTTCATCTTATTTCGTTTATTCGCTTTTTCAGATTTTACTTCATGAGTCCACCCTTTCCTTATGAATCATAAGTGAATTTAATTTGCTAACTCGATCTATCATGTTAATAAATAGTTTTCCTTCTCTAATCCTGGTTTTACCCAAAAGCACCATTGATGGTCCACTTAGAGCATCACTCTTGTTTGATTGCCGAAAATTGCGTTAGCCTTTCCTTTTTTCCTAAAAATTCTCTTTTTTTCATTTACTGCGCACTTTGAAATAATTCAGTAAAGAGCATACATTAAACGGCGCTTGCATGATAAAATTCTCACCACATTTTCTAACATAAGTTTTCTTCATACTGTTACTGCATTAGAAAGTAATGGCTCCGAGTGAGTGGTTCGAGGGGTGAAATCGGGAATGCCATCTCAAATAAAGTCAAGTATTTGATTGATTGTTGCTTCTTGTGTGTCTGGCGTTGTGAATTTTTTTCAAATTGCTAAAATTTTAAAAGCAAATCTTAATAGCAATGCCGCCTTCGTCTGGGTCGTTTTGGAGAGGACAGCCAGATTTATGGCCGAAAAACCCACGGATTTTGCGTAGTGAGTATGCTTGCGCTACTAGCTTCGAGTTCAATACAATCACTGCTTAATGCAAGCTTCGTTATTGCCTCCTTCTATATCACTTGATTTTGTAATGCTTCTTGAACTAAAATTTCCAACTAATTCTTAGCGTTTTGAATTGTTTAACACCACAAAAGAAAAGCTTATGCGACCTATGGAAATGCTTCAGGAATGGTAATCCAAGAGATGCTTCAAAGCAAAAGCAATTTCGGTAGAGCAGGCTACTTTAAAGGAGATAAAGTGTATTTCCATAAGTGTCGCCAAATCCTGCATTTCACAAATCCCCTTCCGACGCCTTTCTCATACACTAATGTATACCTAGTGACCATTCTCTTGCAGAGTAGTGTTCTTTTCGCTTAAATACAGCCATGGCCGTCTTATTCATCAGTTTGCCCTATTCTTGATTAGCTGTCATCGCCAGTACGGCAAACTATCTGTTCTGAGGCAAGATTTGAAAGTACACGGAAAAGACTCCGCCCATCTTGTGACTTGCCCTGTACAGGCTGTGAAGGAGGCATGCGGACGATGATTACGGTAGCAACTTACAATTTAAAAATAGTAGAAAATCATTAAATTAACACATAGCTTTCATCCAAACGCTATTGTCTGCTGTAATGCATTTTGTCTGCAACATTACCTAAATCACCTTTCTGCCATTACTATGTCAAATTAATTTGTAGCATATTTGTATTTTTTCAAATAAACACCACTTCTTTCATTTGACTCCTATGGAATTTCAACTACTTTCCATCGCTTTACATACTCCTGAGCCTTGGAGTCATGACTGAAGATTAATAGAAATAATCGACTCGGTGTGATGCTATTTACGCTCTTACACAGGCTGGTTCTTCGACTACAGCTCTTTTCTTGGGGACATGGTTGTAATGTGTTAACTTTATTTTCCAACTATCACTATCGGAAAGTCTTACTAGACGGGTAATGCTGCTTTCACCTAAAATGCAAGATTCAATTGTTTTTGTCATTAGAGTGGTGTTTAGATCGTATTCAGTTCTAGTAGCCTTGTCTAATTCTTCATCCCCGACTCGTATCAGCACCTTTTTCTCCGGTTGACCATTGGACTGATGGCCATGCTAAGTATCATTAACTTCGTAGTTTTTTGTATTGATGGCCAAGATACGCACCGAAGTTTCGAAGGTGTTGGCGTCTAGTATTTAAGACGTGACCACAAAAGGTCGGATCACAAACTGCTCCATAGGCTCAAATCTGCCTCATTTTGGAAATAATGTTTCGATCAAGCATGAAAATATGCAGCCTCCAAACGAATATACTCTCGTGCTGCCACCCTCTCCCTCCGCGCCCTAGCAGCCCCTTCCTCACTCAATCACATGCGCACGCAACACTTTTGCGGCAATGTGATATGCATCGCTGTGATGTGGCTGCGAGATCGCCCGAGAGTACTATGGTTGTGGCAATTACGGATTGCTTGTGGCCAGCCTCCTCTCCCTTGTCTCCCTCCGTACGTGTGCCGACGCTGGGAGGGGAGCAGACATTCGGCATCTTCCCTTCCCAATCACTTGCTTGCCCTCCCCTGTCCCACAACCGCCTTATTTATTACTGCTCCTGCTGCTTTTCATGCGTGTGTACACTGTAATTGTCGCCCTTGGATCAGGCTGTAATTGGAGTCACTTGTGCCACTTTCATCACCATTTTGTTACCTTTGCGTTGTGTTCCATTTCGCATATTTCTTTGGTGTACTTTCGGGCTCATTTGATCCTGCTTAAAAATACCTCTATAACCGGAGCGGAAAAAGCTATTCAAATTGCAATTGTCTTGGTGGAAGTAAAGAGCCATTGCATAACCTTTAACGCCCAACCAGCTGCTGTCACTGCCAGTTACTTCATGCCCTAAACAGCTTACACTGCCTCACTTTATGGCAGTTCGCACTTCTGCCTCACGCAACTGCACTCTGTTGCTGCTGTTGTTACTCCTGGTGGTGACTGCACCGCCGTTAACTTTAGCCGATATGTCACGGCCTGGCGAAAAAGTCCAGACAGGTGCTTTTTTCGAACCACAATTCGCCCGCTATCGCACCAACATCGATTTCTCAGTCGGTCTTTCCTCTTCCATCGCAGTAGGCGGAGGAGGGGGCAGCAAGCGTCGCCGCCCCTAGTGGCTGCCGAGTTGATCTATGCTCACGCAAACATGCCATTTTTCAGAAGCTTAATACTGCCTTTTCTTAGCAAACCCATTCTCCAAGCTGGGAGATTGAGTTTCTCGAAGAGTTTAATATCGGGTAGTGTCATGCCACCGTTCTCCTTCTAATAGTGATAAGGTGCTATCGTTTAATTTGTAATTTCATCACCTAACTCTTTGGTAATAACTGAAGTGATTTTCATGCTAAAGGGAAGGTTTATGTGCCCAAAACTCTGAAATTTATAGTCACAAACTATTTTAATATATAAATATTCCCTAACTAGCTGCTTATCAAATCATTTAATGATCGTAAACTTTGGGAAGTATAAATCTTCTGCTTCTAATTTATGATGTTATCATGTTACCTCGCCTTGATATTGGGGAGAGAGGAAGGGAAATGCGTTTACTAGTGGGAACTGGTGGGATGGGTTTTCGTCATTATTATTTGTTATTCCTTTTGGTGATCTTCCAATGCATGTTTCTTGTCTACTACCATTTGACGGTGCGGCATATCGGCGTTGTGCGTATGCCTCCCCCACTCCTGTGCTACCATTGACGTTCGGGAAAGTGCCACTTTTTTTCTTCCCTATACTAGCCGCTCCTTTGGCAATGCCGATATTCTAGTTCCGTTCTCTGGTGCTCGTACAATTTTTTCCCTTTTTAACACCACTATTAACCAAAAAGCCTTATGCAGCGAGTCTTTATTTGTGAATAGATGAATTTTCGCCTCTTCTCAGAGAGCATTTTGGTGGCATTTTTGTCTACAATTTGAAACAGCCTTTGGGGATTACTTGCATGGCTTGAAGTGGGTTTAATGCTAACGTTTAACTTAGTTATTTGCAGCAAGCTTCATTGGCATAGGAGTTTTACTAAAATGTTTTTTTTTATTCTTTAGTCCTTTATTGTTGTTATAAGCTTAATCCGTGTTTTCTCAAATAGCTTTGCATTCGAGTTATGAGCAGTTTTAGTGTGCGTGAATCCCTAGAACAATCTAGTCGATGAAGCAAGTTGTCAAATGTTTGAATTCCTTTGTTTCTGCTGAAAATTCTCATCCTCTATAATTTGCTTTGGTTATTGCCTAAAGCTTTCGAGTGTAAAATTACTGCTTATTTGAATGTTTCTTCCAGCATTTGAGGATTGGAATCCGTGTGTGTGTGTGTGTGTGTGTTTATGGCATTTCCCTCTCCAATGGCATTCATATCCCTCTTTCAGATGTTCCTTCATACTCGGCGCTGGTGGGGAGCCCTTGCCATTTCCACAGTCAGCGCAGGAGGAAATCGTGAGGACGGTTATTGAGCCTATGGCCTCTGACGGCCTACGCACCATCGCGATCGCCTACAAAAACTACGTTGGCAACGGTGCGTCATTCCTTTATTCCATCCTACCTACCAGTCTGTTTTATGTTCACCATTGATCAGTTTCCCATTCGAATCTCATTGCAGTCTGAAATGGTGTAGTATTTGCAGAGGGGAAGCCGATATTCATCTGGAGCTTCTCACTACCGTAGCACGAGTTGGCATTGGCGCCGCTGTCTACAGTTGTGTACCCACAGATTTTGACAAGCTCATCGGTGGCCGTTTGTTTGGCTGGGAGAGGGCGTGTTTGCCCGAGAGAGATCTTGACGTAAGAACCAGTGTCCCAATAGGAAAGGGTTTTCATTTGTGTCACCTTTTCTGTCTCTTGTGTGCCTATGTTCGTGACCACTAGGCTTTCTTGTCGAAATAATACGATTTTTGAAGAAATATACGCTTTCAGTGTCCTGAGCTCTGTCACAAATAATAAAATTTGGGTCATTTTAAGTGGTGAAATCAATCCATTGAGGTTTGGATAAGTGTTCACTTCTTCCCTTTTAGGAATTCCTCCAACATCCATGTCAGTCTTTTTCTCTTATTGCAAACATACAATACAAATATCAGTTATGTTAGAATTAAATGAATTTTTCTGGCTTAATTTTAAGTGACTTTTTGATTCCAGTCAATACATTTCAATAAATATTTCAACAAAATCTCCTCCATTGCCATCAATTTTTATGCCAATTGGTGATTTATCATTCTGTTTTTGAAGAGCCTTTGCAGTCAACTTTGATCATCGTGCAGGGGTGGTATGGGTCTCGGTCACTATGATTCCAATCTCAGTGACAATAACGCTTCTCACCTATCATATTGTTTTGATGAAATCCCTGCAAATTTTGGCTGAATTTTTTCAAAAGATTGACAACTTTTATGCTCACAGCGGGTTCTCAGTATGGTTGGCAAATATTTCTCATGTCATATGGAATTTTCTTTCACCCGTGTCTTGTTTTGTACAAAGTATTCCCAAGAAACTCCTCGCATTTACATGGATGCGGTACAGTCTCTTATATATTGAAGTGACTACAAACTTTTAGCTGGAAGTATGCATAAAAAACGTTGAAATGTAGTGAAAAAAAGGCGCTAATGCATATGTACCCATTATTGCTTGGCAGGTGTGACTCCAGAGAGCAACGAGTTCGTGCTACCGAATGGGAGGCGAGCAAATCTGGAGGACGAAGCTAGCCTAATCTGTGACTTGACGTGCTTGGGAATCGTGGGCATTGAAGATCCGGTGCGACCGGAGGTGCCCGCGGCCATCCGCAAGTGCCAGCGTGCTGGCATCACTGTGCGTATGGTGACGGGCGACAATATTAATACGGCACGCTCCATCGCGCTGAAGTGCGGCATCATTTCAGAGGGAGACAACTGCACTATTCTAGAGGGAAAGACCTTCAATCAGCGCGTACGTGACCCCCGCACGGGGAAGGTCAAGCAGGAGCTCATCGACCAGATCTGGCCCACGCTGCGTGTGCTCGCGCGCTCCTCGCCTCAGGACAAGTACACTCTCGTCTCGGGCATCATCGACAGTCATGTGACGCGTTCCCGTGAGGTCGTTGCGGTCACTGGAGACGGCACCAACGATGGACCCGCCCTGAAGAAGGCTGATGTTGGCTTTGCCATGGGCATTGCTGGCACCGATGTGGCTAAGGAGGCCTCCGATATCATCCTCACTGACGACAACTTCACCAGTATTGTCAAGGCCGTAATGTGGGGTCGCAATGTCTACGACTCAATAGCCAAGTTTCTCCAATTCCAACTCACTGTCAATGTGGTTGCTGTGATTGTCGCCTTCGTTGGTGCCTGCTTCATTACGGTGAGTGGCCCGATTAAGATTCTACGTATTGTGGACCCGTTTATTAGGAATTCTTATTTATGCAATTATGGCGATGCTTTATCGTTTACTAACTGGAGAATTGGTGTTTAACGAAAATTGCCAGATCTCTTTAAAAGCGTTCTGGTGAACAAATACATTTGCGAATTCCTCAAATGCGCCTCAATATGTATTTGGAAAGGAGCTAATTTAATCCTGGGGATGTGCCGCGTATCATCGGCAAGGCAGAATCACTGCCTGCATGTTGGAGTTTTTGTAATTGGCGTAAATCTCGAGCGAATTACTTTTCACGTGTACTTTTCTATTCATAGGGAGCTAGCGTTCTTTTGAAAGTAGGAATTTAAACTTCCCTGGATCTACTGCACCACCGAAGAAAATAAGTAATGCCTTCTTTTAGTTTGCTCCGATGTTTCAGTTTGCATTAAGGTGAGGTGACCTTGGAGCTGACGACCAGTCGTTGAAATAAACGACTCGAATAAATAGATTTTCAGTCGTAGTAATTTGGTTACGAAGGTCCACAGCCACTTCTTTGATGGCGCCTGTGTCCGCATTTCCTAAACTCTATTTCAAAGCCATGACAAGGCTCGAGCCTTGTTCCTTATCACAAGCAGACGACTCACATGTTACGTGGTCTAAGCTCTGCTATTGCACGGATCCACCATCCGCAGAAATAGTATTTCTCCTATTAATATCTTTAATTAGTAGTATTAATCTCCCTTATTTACCAATAATTATGTTTTATTAACATTTGTGTCATAGGTGCAAATATTTATGTTGACTAGCAGTCTTGAGGAATGCGCATCCCCCATGTAGTGTACTGAACGCCTAATAGTCCATAATTTTCGTAAGACTAGAACGGTTTTATGCTATCGGTTTAGGTACGATAATAAACACATTGCCCAAATCCTCTTGTCGAGCAAATATTAACATGTTTGCCAAAAATGGGAAGGAGACTGAGTATGGTATTTTTTGTCTACAGGACAGTCCCTTAAAGGCGGTGCAGATGCTGTGGGTGAATTTGATTATGGACACTCTGGCTTCGTTGGCCCTCGCCACGGAGATTCCCTCAGAAGAGTTGCTTGAGCGGGCTCCCTACGGCCGCACCAAACCCATCATCGGCCGCGCCATGATCAAAGCTATCTCGGGACAGGCCATCTACCAGCTCACCGTCATCTTCTATCTTATCTTCTCAGGCATGCTCATCCCTTCATTTCTTGACCAATTTATCAGCACCTCGCGCTCTACCCTTGAATTTTGGGTGTGTTCTCTCGCATCTGCACCACGCCTGCTATGTAGGAGGGGAGGGGTGGGTATGAAATTATAGAAGAAATTGGATTCGTCTCATCTCACAGCAGTCCTCGAGGGCGTAAGCGAACGATCGATGGTCTTTCTCTTCCGGTCTGTTCGAAAGCTAACCGGAGTATACTTGAATTTCTGTTCAGAATATGGGATAGTCAGCTCTCACCAAACCAAAAATACAGTTGTGTATCTTTTACTCCAAATAATTAATAGTTCAGGTTACAAACCTCACTTGTGGTTGTGTTTGTAAGTCTGTAAATAAAGTTGTTTTGTCGTGTAGGTGAGATTCTCTTAGACGTGGACAGCGGACGGGGCTTGTCAGCACAGGGGCAGAACCGACCAACTGAGCACTTCACCGTCATCTTCAACACCTTTGTCCTGATGACACTGTTCAATGAACTCAATGCCAGAAAAATCCATGGTCAACGCAACGTCTTCGAGGGGCTCCATCGAAACCTCCTATTTGTCGGTATCTGGGCCACCACCTTTGTCCTACAAGTGAGCATACTATTCCCACCTATTTTATCGAAATAACCTGGCACTTCTTTCAAAATATATTTCACTTTTTTTCTTCAATCCAACTTAGTTTGGATACCTTTGAGAGTTAGCTTTGTACTTTCGCTCTTTGCGTTTACAAGTTCGTTTATTCTACTCCTCTCAGGTGATCATTGTCCAGTTTGGCGGCTACGCCTTCTCCACTCATCCATTGAATGTGGAACAGTGGCTTTGGTGCATCTTCTTTGGCCTTGGTTCTCTTATCTGGGGACAGGTACGCAGTTTTTTTCGATATCATTCACAATTAATGTCAGAGATTCACCGGAATAGAGATGTAGCTTTTACACCCTTAGTACAGTGAGATTCCGACTCACACCTTGGGTCCTTGACCAAGATGAAAAATCCTTCGTCTCCCCTTCTGTTTCAACAGTTAGTGATTTCGGTGCCGGTGTGGGTAGTTCCAAAGCATCTAATTCCACGACGCAAACGAAAGCCTGTTCCACGCAAGTCAGTGCTCTACCAGGAGTTGGCATTGGCTCCGGAAGGTGGTGTCGCCTCCACCGGCGATCAGATGGCCGCCGCGGCCGGTGCAGGAGCGGCAGTAAGCGTGCCTGTCGCTCGTCCTGTGGTCTCCGATGTGGAGGAGGAGCTTTCCGAGTCCGAGGTCGAATCAGAAAGCGAGGAGTCTGGCGCTGAGGACACTGGCAGTGGTGACCTAAAGAGTACCGGCCAGATCCTCTGGATTCGTGGACTTTCAAGACTTCAGACACAGGTATATTCTTCGGCAACATTTGGGTTGTCGTCACCACAATTAATAGCTTGCTCATTATCCTTTATGCTTAAGTAGATAACCTCGATCACTTTTTTTATTTTGCTCTTCCGTGCAGGGTATATAATGGTCGTAGATATTATAAATACATACATATCTCTATTATATTTTGATGCCAACATCACCACACCTCACCTCTTCTTTATGTGTGCTCTCACGACCACCTCCTTCTGGCATGCGGCCCTCCTCCTTGTTCCTCCTGCTGTGCACCCCACTCGAAGCGATTGGCGTGAAAGGCAGCCCTCCTGCTCAAGGTCACACACTGTGTCTGGTTAACTGGTTTGTGTCCGTCTGCTTGTCTGTGTGGATGTCTGCCTCATAATGGAGCCGCAAGTGCTGCTGGGAGGTAAACTCCTCTGATTGCACCTGCATGCAGCCCATCACCGACGTATGTTTGACCCTACGTGAGCGTGTTTGTGTATGAATTGCAAACACCTTCTCTCTAGGCCGACAAGACAGGAGAAATTTGGATGCGTTTAGAATGTTTTTATTGCTTATCCCTTTGGGTAATAAACTCAGGTTTACTTGATAGGGTAGCATGAGTATTACTAAAATAGGTGCTTTTTCTTCACTACAGTTCATTTTAAATGCTCAAACATGAGTCGATTATTTGTCTTTAGGACTCGCACTATTTTTTACACCTTCACGAGGTTACCTGAAGGAGGCAATTAAGGATCATAATCTGCGCTCTACGTTGGTGAAAAGCGTTGGAGTGGAGTTTCCATCTGACGTCTAAGCCATTACTGCTGAAAATAATTTGATTCTTATTTAGTTTTATATACTGCTAGATGGGCGAATCATAGGTTCTCCACTCGTTCGGCAGTGCACTTAGCTGTCACTTTTGGGATCTTGTCTGCAGCCTAGCATCTTTTTCCCTGCGCTGGACTAACTACTTCATTTTTGAGCTATTTTTTTGATAAACATTTGGGGAGAAAATGCCGGGTTTCATGAACACTTGTGAGATCAAAGTAGGGGACCGTGCTTTAATCAGGAGAATTTCACTTTGTACTGGTCAAAATGTTCTTCAAGCCTAAAATAGCCTAGAAAAAACACATGGCAAGTTTTACGTGTCCATTTACCAGATTAAATATTCTAATTGCCATGGTAGGTGTATGGGGATACTTTGAATTGGGGAGGGGGGTGAAGGTGCAGAAGTCTGTTAAATACGGAATGAATGTAAGGAGGTTCCTACCAGCAGCATTTGGGCGTGTGTGGGTGCGCGTCAGTATGTGTGTCCTACCGCTTGGTTTTCGTCTGTGCTCACACCAAGTTGTCGTAAGCCCTTCTGACGTGGATTATTTTTCTCCCTTTTCTTCTTCCTTCGCGACTTCAATCGATCCATCGGCGACGCTTCCTCCGCCACGGACTCGACACCGCTGTCGTCAATGTCTATTGGCTGCTTACATGCATCCATCACCCACTAAACCACACATGCTTCCTCCTTTCCCGATCCTTTCCGTTGTTTGTCTCTCGCGTTTTCGCCCTCTCTAATCTTCTTCTGTCAATCTCTCCCTCGTGTGTGTGTGTGTGTGTGTGTGTGTGTATGCGTGTGTGTTTGCGTGCATTTGCGTCCATGTTTGGGTATTGGAATAGGCCACACGTGATCACGAGTTGGATCACCGTAGTGATGAGTTCATGGGTCGTGTGCGCCGTTTTACACTGAGTCAAATCAACACCGAGGCCATGCAGCATCCCCTTGTACTGGCCGCTCGAAGACAGAGCATTAATCTCTCCTCCACGGGAGTTGGGGAAGACAGCCGTCTCTCCTCGCAGTACCGCCTCGGTGGTATCGGGAGTCTGGAGGAGGAGCCTGAAGAATCGGTAGATGATGATGCTGATGATGGTGGTTGTGGCGATGATCCGGAAGCTAATCGATAATGTGACCGAAGTAGTCGCATGCGGGCGGGCGTGTTCACGCGCTCGTGTATGTGTGCGCTCGGAATGTTGTCCCCTAGTGTATACATTTTTCACATCTTTTCCTTATTCTCTCGCTCCATCTCTATCTTCGCCTTTATCGTCGTTGTTGATTTGTCCTTTTTTTCAATTCTCAGCCGCGTTTACTTTTTTCTCTCGTTTTCCTTTCACGAACCTCTACACCCTCCCATTCACCCACCAGATGAATGCAGTAAGTGTGTGTAAAATGGCATATATCAATATATGTATGTATATATCCACATATGTATATCCGCATAGCACATATATGTATGCGTGTGTGCATATATGTGCTGCGTACATTACTATGGCGTCACGTTGTAGCTCAGACTATTCTAATGAGTTGCCCGTCCTCCACTCGTCTCCCCTCTGTCTGCATGCCCGCCCCTCTCCCTATGCCTTCTTCTCCCCTCCCCCACTTACCACCTGCACCACCTTCTTTCATCCACGATCAAGTCAAGAGCGCAATTAGTGTATGTATCTACTTTTATGACGCTGAAATACATACAGACAGTTACTCCGATTTGAAACCGGACGTATTCCCATTGTGCAAGTAGGGTCCACAAACATCTCTCGCTAGCACCCCCAATATACATTAGCGTTCCATTCAAGGCCGTTTCCTGATTTTGTCTCCGTTTTAATTTACTTATCTGACTGAAGTCAGTCGTCTTCTGTGGTTTTGTTATTAATCGTACACATGGACCATAATTTAATGCACTGAAGTCTGATGTATGCGTAGAGATATCCCTTATCAATAAAACGCGGTGAATAATTTTACTAAAGACAGTATATTAGCCTTGTGGTTATTTTTAAGCAAAGTTTACGCGAAATCTACGCCCATTATTTTTTTTACTTTCGCACCCAAGTTTTAGCCCATTAGTTACGTATACGGACTTAAAACTTGGCACTGACAAGGGCTGCTCTGATGCTGAAATCTGCTTTACTCAGACTTTGGGAGAAGAATTGTTTACCATGAGACTTAGTGTAATTGCTTCAAATAACTTTTAACTTTGGTAAACCAAATGTAACCACTCTTCACTGTCTGAAATATTTTGTATTGCGGACAGCACTTTGGAATGCCGTTTACATTTGCCACTTTGTACGGTATGATATTTAATTATAGAATTATTTGATCATCAAAGCTGGTAGATTCATGTTTGGACGGCCCGATCACACACAAGCTTCCATTGTCTGCTTTTTGCCTCGGTCCAAATTTAGCACTTAGATAGAACAATTTCACGTCATGGTTATCTTGACTTTCATAACCGGCTTTCTCTCCGATCTAATTAAATCTCCTAATTATGTTTCGTACGTGATTTTTCACCGTTCCAACAAGTATAAACTCCACTTTCCCCCTATCGGATCGAATATCATGATTGTCTAAGAAGCTCTTAGGCATGGACATTTATCTAATTGTGGATGTCAAGACCACACTTTTGAATCAATGAAGTTATTTTTGCGAACTCATTCTAACAAACCAACTGTGCGACCTAATAGTATGATGGTCTGGTATCGATTGTCATATAGAGTAGAAGGATTGGAATCGAAAAATATCGGAGTGGCCTCAAATAGGCTTCCGAAGCAGTGTGATTCCTAATGATTCTCTTTCACATGCTCCGTCTTCAGTTGCAAAATATTTGGATGGAACTTCAAATGTCTACGTGTTGTTATGGGGGTGTTGAGTGATTCGAATGAGTTCTTTTAAGTACACAGCTCTAAACTCAATACTCAGGTGGGGTTTTCTCCTTGAAAAGCAGGTAAAAGATGAGGCAGGGGCGCTAACGTAATTCCGACTGGTCAATTGATTGCTTAGCTGATTAGTAAGTTGGTAATTCAGGGTTAGTTGGGAGCCAAGTCATTGCAAAACTTATTGGCACCTTTTATCCCTAGTTAATCTTAAGTAACTTCATGTTTAGGAAAACCGATGTTGCAAATTTCAGAAGTCTCATTTTATCAATCGCATACTTTATTATTAAGTGCATCGACTCGCAGTTTGGCCGATTCTCTGCATTTTCGCTTGCCTAGTTCGACACCGCTCCCTTCAAACTTAGGAGACACTAAATTAATTAACAAATCAGTTGACTGTCTACTTTTGGATGCCTGGAGATTTTGTTTCATCAATTTGAAATTCAGTCTTATTAAAGTAAACTACTTTATCCCAATGTTTAGTTTCCAGATCACCCTCCATTTTTTGTAATTCATTTTCTAGAAACAGTCTAAATGTGCATATATCGTTCGAGAGTTGCCAGTTTGGGGTACTAAAATGGTATAGTAAGTCAGTTGACTGCTAAAACAAAGTAGTGTTTTACTTGAGGTTTCATGCATGTCAATCAATCATGACTTGTTTTAAGGCAAGACCGACTTCTCCCAACGGAGAAAATCAAGCCCGTAGAAATAGCAGTCATTCGGACGCAGGAATTGAAGGAAATTATACAAAATGCATGCAGATATGTTTATTTTTTTCCTTTTAGACTTTCCTGCCAACTTTTAAGGAGCCCATTTATCAGTTCCTTTTTGTACGAAATCGATGTAGAAAAAGTGTCTTACTCAATTGCCTTCCCTTTTCGTGGTCTTAGTACATTCATTTTGTCCTGAGGTTATAACGTTGCGACGGATTTTCGGGGAAAATGAATTAAAGGAGCTGACACATTACAAATACAGCATCGCACCTTTATTGTGCGCAAATATTCAAGAACATATGCCAATTTTAATTTCACTTCGAGTAGATTCAAAACGACCATAGCTGCTCTTGTTCTCAGATTGTTCACAGTTTACATGAACGCATTTTTTTCTGCGAGTGTGGGTACTTCTTTGCTGTCCATTAATATTCAATCAAACTGATGTCATTTCTTCCTTTTTTGCGATTACTGGAGATTCGAAGCTGATTTAATAAGTTGTTCACTTTGTATATCTCGTGTTTTAGCCACCATTGCGCAGTCAACGTTAGAACTTTGCTTTGATAAGACGACAAAATTATCTGAGTTGGGAGATTGCATGTGCGCTTTTCATAGTTATTTCTAAATCCGTTGTTATGCTTAATTATTTAAAAAAATAATAGGAGAATTTGATCGACCACTTCAATCGAAAGTCGTATCTTTGCTACCTCTGCTCAAATTTACAATCCTTTTGGGAATGGGATGTGATTAACTATTCACACGTACGCACAAATTCTCATGCATGGTATATTGCTGTAGTCTGGAGGCCTTTGTAAACAGAATATTTCCGCGCATCAACTATCGACACTGAAGTGGTAAAGACGAAGTGTATAAATCCGCAAGTCAAGTTGCAATATTCTTCCGAAGCAGCATCCGTATGTCCAGGCAGCAGACCTAAAGTAAACCACCAAAGTGGTGTCCCCTGAGAGTCGGATGAGGGTGATGGTTAAAGTAGAATGATACCTGCAGGAGGGGACAGTTGGAACACCTTCTTGTGGGACTCATCACTGCGTCAAACATATTCTCTTTAATCTTTGGAAAGGATATATTCTCATCCACTGACCTCCGAAACCACTATTGAATTATTGTACTGAATTTTCTTCCGTCGGAGTCTCGAGTTTCATCTGCGGTAGACTGACACCGGTACCTCTCATCTGCTCTACAGTTCTGTGGCTTCTGCTCCATGCTTGTTTAGGGTACAGTCAGTGTGACGTAGTGAGTGTACTATTTTGGAATCTACATTGCAGGTTTCTCTGTCATTGATGTGTGCTTATGAGTTTTTTAAAATACTCTGTTTTCTTCATCATTGGGATGTCACCTCACTGATTCCAAATTTGGTGCATCAATTCCGTCTTACTTAAAATTGAGATTGCCCTTACCTAATTGCGAGCTAACCTGATTCGGACAGCCTCTGATATGAGGTCGTTACACTTTATGGTGGCGATTTCGTGAAGATCAAATAGTTGCCTGCTGTTGCCTGTGAAATCCCTTTTCCCCGCAAAGGACAACTGTACTTTTTGCCATTTTCAGGTTTTTGGTTTGCACTGCGTTTTCACTCATGAAGCAATTCGCAATCTAATGTAGTTGTCTACCTTTTTGGCTCATTCATTGTACATCCATAGTTCAATGCATGAATCCGGAAGGCGGCTATGGAATCATCGTTTTGACGTCTGTTTCCTGACTGAAGTTTAGATCCTCTTTTCTTCCTCTACCGGTTTCCATGATGTCTCCATTCGTTAATGCTGCTGGTTTGGTTGACGTTTGGACTTTTTAAAGCCTCACAATCTTAGCGCTATATTATACTTATTTGAATAGGTTTGTAGATCCAGTTGTCCATTTCAGTTGGTCACGTCGAAAAGTTGAATTTTTTTGCCCATATATTCAAATTGTCATGTACCCCTCTCCTCCCACTTTCATTGCTGGTTATGGGTTCCAGAGATGCATCAACATAGGAGGGAACGGGCCGAACGGAAAACGTTATTGCAGTTCTTTTGTAGTTTCACTGCACTTGTCTGCGTCATTGAATGTTATGCAGATATGTTTAAGTCTTGAGAGCTGTCAAGTTGATTACCTCATTTTTTTCGCCGAGGTCATTGGGTCTGGCAACGTTCCCAACCTGGTTAATGGCTGATCAATGTACCAACTTTTTTTCTTAAACTCGTTAAAACGTATATATTGTAGAAGAGGACCCGGGTTTCGCTGATATTGTTATTCTCATCACTTTGCAACCTTACCAAACCTTGGGTTTTAATCTCTAGTTCGTGGATTCAAGGTACAAATAATGTATTTGTTTCCATTAACCTATTTTCTTAAGATCCATCGCGTAGGGATTTAATGTCAATTTCATATCCCAGGTTGTAAAACAATATTCTTTGAATAGACACTCAGCTGCATTTCTAGACCATTATTATTTAACACATGCATTGCTCCTTGTACCCTCCAGCTCACGTTTAT